AAGTTTGCAAATCACAGAATTAAACCATGTCCAGAATCATCCTGGTTCTTATCAAGGATTGCCTTCCTTTCAGAATTGAGATTGAATATCAAATGGATGGAGGGCTTTTCAATCTGGGACATTTTCAATTGAAGACCAAAATACTTAAAACAATCATGGACCATCAATTTGTCAATGATTGTGCCATCCTTGCACACACTGAAGGAAACGTCCAGACTGCTGGATCTTTTCAGAGATCTACCAAACTTCGGGCCTCTCCCTCAACATTGAAAAGACTAAAGTGTTCTATCAGCCTGGCTCAGACCATGAATGCGACCCTCCTCCCCAAATTACCACTGAGGGAAAGACTTTGGAGGTAGCTGAGCATTCCCCCTACCTCAATAGCCACCTCTCTGAGAGCAACCACTGATGAGGCGATCCAACACAGGATCTGGGTGCACAATAACCTCCTTTGAGAATTGCTTTGGCATGGCTTTATTCATTGCAATCTCCAAAAAGACACTAAGATCTAGTTTTACAATGCAGTAATCATCTCCATCCTCCTCTAAGGATGTGAAATGTGGGTCACTTACTGTCGTCATTTCAAGACCCTGGAGAGGGATCACCAATGACGCCTCTGGAAAATTGTCCACATCAAATGGGAACATTGCTGTACAAATGCCATCATTCTTGCTGAAGCCAGTGTTGCCAACATTGAGTTAGTGATCCTTAAGCGCTAACTTTGCTGGACTGGACATTATGTGAGTATGCCTGACTCTTGACTCCCAAAGCAAGTTCTCTACTCCAAGCTTAGTAACAGCCAATCTCTTGGGGGCCGCAGGAAATGCTACAAGGACACATTGAAGGCATACCTCAAGAAATTGGACGCTGACAGCTGGGAGGAGTTGGCTGTCGACCAACTCCAATGGTGCTGTAACCTCAACCAAGCAGCACTTGGTTCATGAGAGCATTTTGCCTTCAAAGCAGAGAAGAGAGAGTGGAGGAAAGAAGAGAGAAATCCTGGCTTTTGGCATACTCTCCCCTGTGGAAAGACCTGCAACTTCAGTGGATGAGTATGTGGCTCAAAGATTGGACTCTTAAGTCACTTCAAGAAATCCATGGTAGAGATCATTCTCAAATCCAGGGATTTCCACTGTCAATGAAAAAGCGACATAAATGAATACAACATAATACTGGCTTTTCAATGAGACCAAACATACCATCCCAGTAAAAACCAACACAAAAAACCTGCATGATAACCCACAAAATATGGTGGGCTTCATGACAACCATCATGAAGGCCTTAGATAATCAATGCAAACTTTTAAACAAGGATGCAAAAACACAATAGATATTTGTTTTTGTTAGAGTGAGATTGTTTTGGGATCTTCTAGTAACATCACTGGCAGAGAAATAGATGTTACTCTTTCTTATTCCAACAGAAACAGACCAGTAACTTTGGACCATTAATATTTCTACCGTGGTAGTCAGTTTATTATGAGAATTACATTAGGAACAATATATTAAAATAAAATTAGGTATTTAAAGTCCGTATTTCATCATAATGATGGTCAGGTTTTGTCATTTGAGGAATGAATGGAATAACTCTTTTGAAGTGAGATTGAAAAAAGTTAACTACTTACTAGAGAAAGGAGATAAATAGGATGGGGCATGATAAATGTATATACAAAATTAATAATATATAGAAGGAAGAGCAGGTGTCTGTTCTCCCTTTCTCACAAGGTAAGAACAAAGACACATTAAAGGAAATTGAAGGGTGGGGTATTCAAAACTATTAAATGAAATAATTTTTCACAGAACCATGGACATGTAGTGCTGGAAGGGACATCAATATATTATCTAGTTCAACCCTCACCACCGAGGTAGGATCAGGTATACAGACATGGCCCCCAGTATGTATTTTTAAGAACAAACTGCCAATGAAGAAGATTCTACAACATCCATAGGTAGTTCCAATGTTTCACCATCCTAATTTAGAATTGTTTTCCTAATGTCCAGTTTAAATCTTTGTTGTATATTAAGCTATTTTTCTCTTGTTCTTCCCCAAGTACATATGAAGAGCATCTGTTTACTGTCCTCTTTATAACAACATACTCAAAATGTGCTATCATGTCCTTCTCTGTCTTCTCTTTTCTTACTAAACAACAAACACATTCCTTCAAGCTTTGCACTTGCCTTTATTGAATTTCACTGTATTGACTTTGAATCATTTCTCCAATTTGTCAAGATCATTTTGAATTCTGATCCTGTCCTCCAAAATGCTTGAGTTCCTTCCAGCTTGTATCACATGCAGATTTTACAAGCATACAATTCAGTTCTCCAAGTCAGTAATGAAATTGTGGAACAGAACTGAACAAAGGACTGACCTCTGCAGGGTCCTATTTGATAAGCCCTTGCAGTTTGACAGTGAACCATTAACAGCTGCTTTCTGAAAGTGATTTTTCAACCAGTTGTGCACCCATCTTATGCCGAGTACATATAAAACATATTTTCTTAGGTTTATGAGCATATCATAAAGGACATTCTCAGAAAGCTTTACTGAAGCCAAGATATTCCATCTAATGCTTCCTTCTTATTTACAAAGCCAGTAAACTTGCAATGCATATTTAGACTGAGATACTGCTGAGGCAAAAAATTAAGATGAGTCCAAGAGGGATTGGGCATTAATACAGCTAACAGAAAAATTCAGAGTTAGAAGAGATAATGTTAACAAAGCTTAGAAGGGAGAAAACTATGCGAAGGAGAAACCTCACATTTCATAGTTTACAGTAGGCCCATTTCTAACTGTTACGTTGATATCTTCATGGGAGGCAGGAATAAATAATTCACCATCACACATTCCATGTGTGGGTTTTTCTGCTTTTTGCTCTAGCCTTTAGTGCCTTCCTGTTGGAGAAAAAATACCGGATCAGAGAGACCATCAATTTAATCCACTACAGTAATTAATTCCTGTGTCTCCTGTATTTATCATTTGAATTTTTCTGTGATTCAGACATGTTTTTTGTTCTGGATGTGCCTTGCATGTCGCCACTACCAAAAGCTACCTATTCCTCTGCCATTAAGTTAGTGTTTTAATTTAATTTATACAAAAGCTAAACTGGAGTTATAACATATCATGCCCAACGCTATTCTTTTAGATGGAATTGAGTCTGGGATACTCTGACATCAGTGCTGAGAAAAGTCCTTGCCTCAACACTTTTTCTGGTTTTTAGGTTTGTCTGATCTCTCTGCTTTTTCCTGGCACTTCCCTGATGTGTCAGTGCTTCATGATCACTTTCTTTTCAACAGTGAATGAGAATTGATGCACAGCTGTTAACTGGGGCCTGTCTTACTGTACTTAAACATGTAAACAATCTTTCAGGCAATTTTTACAAGAAATAATGGCCACAAGCTAGCAGAGAGCAGATTTAGATTGGACATTAGGAAGAACTTCTTCACAGTTAGAGTGGCCAAGGTCTGGAACGGGCTCCCAAGGGAGGTGGTGCTCTCCCCTACCCTGGGGGTCTTCAAGAGGAGGTTAGATAGGCATCTAGCTGGGGTCATCTAGATCCAGCCCTCTTTCCTGCCTATGCAGGGGGTCGGACTCGATGATCTATTGAGTTCCCTTCCGACCCTAACATCTATGAATCTATGAATCTATAACTCCTGTGCCCAAATATTAGCACATAATTAAATCTGTTGCTGGGTTGGGGAACTAGAATGTTTAGGTTTTGCAGGTTTAAATTAGTTAACATGTTGATACCAACTCATATCCTGTGTGATCTTACTTGAAGGAATTAATAAGTGGGGAAGTATATGAATTACTAGATAAAAAGGATAAATATAAAACTTTTTTTTTTCATTCCAGTTAGATTTCTGAGAGGAAAGAATTATGTTACAGTTATATACCCCAAACAGGATTTTATAGTAAAGCTTTGTTGTAACGCTGGTAAAGATTACTTTGATTATCAACACTAGGTAAATCAGCCTTTAAAGGTTAAAAACATCTGTGTTCCCTACCAGCTTTTTTTGTTTCTTTCTGCTCTTAGTGAACACAAAAAATTGAGTAGAATAACACCAGGCTAGGTAAAGAGGTCAGAGGAGATACCAAAGCTTCAGATGGAGAATGACAGCAGGGAAACATGAAAGAGACAAACTAGACCGAGGGCGTTCAGAAAAGGACGAAGGCTAAAAGAAAATAACATGAGAGTGATGATGTCCTTGTGATTTAAGACATTGGACTGAGACAAAGATGATCTGGGTTGTAACTCAGCCAGAACATTCCTTTGTGAACTTAATCTCTGTCTCTCAGTCCCATATTTGTAACATAATACCTCTTTTCCCCATTCTTTGTCTATTTTAGCCAGGGGTGTCCGAAATACAGCCCATGGGCTGGAACTGGCCTATGGAGCCCCATCCTCTGGCCCCCTCTAGATCTGGAGTCAACCCACATGCCACACAGCACACACCAGACCAGCTCCACACACAGTGCTTGAAGCATACGCCGCACATAGCTTCCCCTCCAGCCAACCCAGGATCTGCGCTGTATATGACAGTCAACTCAGGTGGTAGAAGGCATGCCCCATACGCAGCGCCTGTCCCAGCTGGTCTGGGGTGTGTGCTGCAGATAGCACCCAGTCCTGCGGTTCACAACCTACGCTGCATGCATCAACTCCTCAGTGCTGCATGCAGCTTAGTCCAGATAGCTAATCCCCAACAAGAAATTTACCTAAGAAAAAAGTAAGTCAATAAAAGTATAGGGTAGTAGCAGGCATCATGACTTCTCTCAGTTTTGTACATTCCCCCCCCCACCAAAAGCGTGTTGGGGAATTTGGGCTGCATGTAACATGTTTATGTTCTTTATTTTACGGGATGTCCCCTGTATTAGTGCCTAGTATTAAAAACCCATCAGTTCTTCACTGTATCTGTCTTCCAACATTTTCTGTAGTAGGTCTGCATGTATATTACGTGCTGCTATTATGACCCAATCTTTTTGTTCTCTTTTCTGTTTTATTTTTAAAGGGATGAGATGCTAGTTCTGTGGCATTGATGGTTTACAATGCCCAATCAAGACAAAAAGGTGAAGAGCACAGAAAAAGCAACAGATAAAAAACCCCAGGGGGTCATTGCTAGGTATAGTATCTGACGTTTTATTCTGTTTGAATTTCAGCAGTGACTGTCTGGAATTTGTAGCAGCTGCCCAAGTTGAATGCTTTAATATGAAATGCTGTATAAACATGACAACTGTTACTCTGGTCACAAACTTTATTTAGACCTTTCATAATTTCAGTCATTCTGGAGAACCAAATCAGTAGCTATGCAAACTTCAGTACACAAAAAAGAAAAAAAAAATCTGCTGAGGTAATACCAGAGAACTTTTCCATTCTGTCAACATTGTTGCTTACATAATTTGACCTTGTTTATGTTGAGCAAACTACTTATTGACATTGTTAAAACGTTATGCATTGAGTTATTAATAGGTACATAATTATGTTTTATTTTAGGGATTACTCTGACCTTAAAAGACTTCGGTGTCTCTTAAATGTCCAGTCAAGCAAACAGCAGGTATTTTTCTGTGGTCATTATTCAATATGCTGCGCAGTTGTATAATCAGGTGAAATGATGATTGTTCAGTTGGAATTTTGTATGTTGTTGTAATGAAGTGCCAGGAAGATCACGGGCAATGGAATTAATTAGAATCTTGTATTTCTTGGAAATGGCAAAACTTTCTTCTATGGGGAAGAATCCCCATTAGATAATGCAAGGGGATGATGTTAACTGGCTTTTTATGCTGGTCTAGTTTAGTGGGTAGTTGAACAGAAAAATAACTTCATATACTTTGTTCTGTCAGTATCTAGTGAAGTTTATCCTGTAACTGTCACAGCTGTTTATAGTCAAGCAGCCTAAAAGCTTTGTCCTCTTCTACACCCCTTAGCATTGTTGTGAAGCAGCAGTGTGTAAGCAGTCCTTCCAAGAGGAAATAAGTCTCTCCACCATCACTCATCTGATTGTCATCTTTGTCATTATATAATAGTATTTAAAGCATTTAATTCTTTACTTATGTGAATATTTATATTTATAGTGATGGATGGCTTGTCTATTTTGTTCCATTCAATTTTACTTCCTGGTCTGAATTCACTGCTGTTGCATGGCTGTAAGTCCTGCCAGTTTGGAGGCAGTTCTGAGGGCTAGTGGAGTCTCTTGAATGCCCAGATTTAGATCAATATGCATCAGGGCAAGGAGCACGCTCCTTGCTTGGGAGTCTATTGCTGAAGCTGTACAAATATATGGGAAATTGACCCAAGGGATCCTGTAGAATATACACAGATAATGTACATGTTTCGTTGAGGATGAATTTTGGAAACGAAAAACCAGCTGTCTCTCTTAGATTTCTGAAATGTAAACTATGATGTTACAGGGATACTAACTACCTCAGTGAGAATCAGTGATGTGTTTGCATTGCACTTGTTTTGTCAATTCAGATTAGTAGGTGTAGAAATACTGAATCCTTGTAGAAACAAAGGGTGGTAGAAACACTTCATTATTACATAAAAATGACAAGTTCTGTAGTATACAGGTCATTTCTACAAGTTTATAGTTCTATTAACGTTACTGTGTAGTTATATGAGTGGGATTGGCTGTAAACATTTTGAAGCAGTGTATACTATCAATGTTTTAATAATGCATAGTACGCTGGTTTAAGTCACTGATTTCCAAATTTGTCGTTTGTCGTCATATACGTTTTCTTGCACTTCTTTGAATCAAAAGTGTTAACACTGCTTCATTATCATTTAGAAGTAATGATTAGATCTTAAATTTGAAAGGATATAAAATTCAAGAAGATAACTTCTGTGTTTGGTTACTGTCTGTAGTTGTTCTCTGATATCTACCCATCCTTCTCTTTGCAGCTCCCAGCAATTAACTTTGAAACTGCTCAAACCAGCATGACAAAGTCTGAGCGACATAACAGCAAGATTAACGGACAAAGAAGCCAAGGTCATTGGCACGAGTCAACTGAAGCTGTTGAACTTGAAAACTTTAGGTAAGAAGTATAAAAACTACTGCAGCCACAGTATATCTGCATATCTGTATATATCTTAAACCTGTTGTACATTCATTGAAGACACGCATACTACTTGTACTTTCCTGTTAAACTGTCATCAAGGTGTGAATAAAATAACAATTTGATAGTCATACACCTTGACTTTAGCAAGGCTTTTGATACGGTCTCCCACTGCATTCTTGCAAAGCTAAGGAAGCATGGATTGGATGAATGCAATGTAAGGTGGATAGAAAGCTGTCTGGATCGTCTGGCTCAACAAGTAGTGATCAATGGCTTGAGGTCTAGTTGATCTCCTCCTTGTTCCTCCCCAAACCTCCAGACTGCTTTAGGTGTTACCCTCCATGTTGACTTCCTGGAGCTGTAGCCATTCTGCTGAGGTAGTGTTCTCTCAGCAGGCTCCAAGGTGTTACTGCTAGCTCATCTCAGGCCTGGGCTTATATCCTACATAAACCCAGCCTTCTGCCAGGGTTAGATGACTTCATGATCAACACTGGCCACACCCGCAGGCTGTCCCAGCACTAGCTTGCCTGCTTCACATGGAGAGGTAGTCTAATTTCCATCCTTGGAGGTTTTTAAGGCCCAGCTCGAAAAAACCTTGGTTAGAATGATCTATTTGGGTATGGTTCTGCTTTGAGCAGGTGGTTGGACTAGATGACCTCCTGAGGCCTCTTCCAACCCTAATTTTCTATGATTCTATGACATTAAATTATGCATAATAATTTTTTAACTGAAGGGGAGACTGTGTGGTATGCAAAATACTACAGAAATTATTAGGTGATTTGTACTGTTGTTCTATTAAGCATTTTCTTATTTGTGTCATAAGCACACAAAGACACCATAAAATGTCTTGGGTAGAATTTACTGATGTTAAGTGTTTTTTAGACTACAAAATAAAGAATGTATATCAAGACTGTTTTTCTGGCCTTGCTATTTGTAAGCTTGAATATATCACAGTAATTAGCTAAAGTGGTTTTTGGGAAAAAGAGAGTACACGCATTTGAATAATCAGAAGGTATGATAATCCACCAGCAATCTGGAGCATAGTCCATGTTCATTTGGCTTCTTCTGAAATTGTAAGCTAGTCGTTACTCAGGACAAATCCAATTTATTCTTGTGCAGCTCCAAAGATGAGCTTTCATTTTTTATTAAACTTTGAAACATCATAAAATATATTATAACATATTAAAATATTTGTGACCCTACAATCACTAGGCTATTTCAGAAAGATAAAATATGAAATGCCTCTAATTTCAGAGGCAAGGATTTTTGTGAGTTATATCTTTTGTTGGACCAGCCTAATTGTTGCAATAGAGTTAGACAAGCTTTCAAATACAGATCTTCACCATACTTCATGATCTGAGTAGTGGGGCAGCAAGGGGAAGCTGGCAGTGATGGGGAATGGGCTTGGAGAAGCTTTCCCCAAGCCTGCTTCTCAGCCTTTCCAGCTTTTAAAAAATTGCTTCCCCACCGCCCAATTGGGCAGCATGGGAAGCAAGGAGAAGCTGGCCTGGATGGGAACAGGGCTTGGCAAGGCTTTTCCTGAGCTCTCTTCCCAGTCCTGCTGATGTTTGAATTGCAGCCCCATCACCCACCTTGATCCTGCAGGCAGCCATGGGAAGTCCACAGTAGCCAGCAAGGCCTCCTGCTTTGTCCTAAAACCAGGAACTTGCTGGCTTTGGGAAGAGGCAGGGAATGTTTAGTGATGGCTGCTGCTCCCCTCCCCTCCCAGTCTGGGAGGAGGGAAGAGGAGAGGCGGGGAGCAGCACCCGTAAGCCCCCAGCTGACTTCCTACTCCAGGGACTCCAGCATGAGAAGATAGCAAGGGGGCTTGCAGAGTTGTTGCCTCTCCTTGGCTCTCAGTGCCTGGGAACTGAGCTTGGGGTGCAGTTGGGCAAAATCACCTGTCCACTTCTCACACCGGGGACCCCAGTGTGTGAGGAGCCAACAGGGAGTGGCTGGTAGCTGCTCATCCTTTCCCCTTCTGGTCTGTGGCGAGGGTGTGAGCAGCTGCCACCCACATCTTCTCCAGACCAGGATGATCCCAATCTCAGGAAGGCACAGGAGCCTTTTGGCCAGCTCCCCAGGAGGAGTTAAGCCAAGGGAAAGTGTACAAACATTCATTCTCTCAGGAAAAAGTCTCCTGGGACCTACTTCTTCTGGACTGGGGTTGGTTTATTTTTCTCCTGGAATGGCTGGGAGGAAAAGCATAAAGATCTGAGCATGAACAACCATTCTCATAGTAGAAACCGAGCATCTATATATGGTTTTAGATGACTAGCACATGTATTTGCTTTCTATAAATCACTGTCCTTCAAGGCTTAATCTTCTTGAATGCCTAGCTGCCATCACAGGCTCCAAATGGCTCTATGCCAATTTACTCTGAGTTAATGTATAAATAGCAACAACCAAGTATTTTTGGTGCTTTCAAGACAAGCTGCTATTGCTGCCCCCACAAGCTTATGTTATTACACAGGAAGAGGTGATAGAGGCCAATAAGGGTGGGCACCAGAATAGGATTAGTAAAGGTGCCATTTGCAAACACATGTATGCATCTCTTGCTGCTGTTTCTTTAAAGATAATATTTTGGTTTATGAATATTTGTGTTTCTATACCGCTAATTCATCTGAGAACAATACCATTCCATAAGTAAAAAAAGGGACAGAACAAGATCCAGAATCAGCAGTGGTGAGAGTATTTCAAGTCAGTTATCAAATGACAGCTCTTACTCTCTGAAGAGAGAGGCACGATCTACTACGTTCTAATTGAAATAAAAATCATGGTCTGTTTGGTTAAACATGTCACCATATATCAGTGTAATAGCAATCTCAAATTCAGTATGAGAAAGATCTGTCTTTTAGGTAATCTAAAACTGTCTTTTTACATTTCATAATACTGCATTTTTCTAAATTTTCCCCTTAGTGTAAATTACAAGAATGAGAGAAATTTTAGCAAGCATCCTCAGCACAGGCTGTTTCAAGAAATCTTCACAGCTTTGGTTAAGAACAGACTTATCTGTAGGTAAGAATGTACAGTACATGTGCATCTGGCTAAAATGAGTCTCTTCTTGTGCAAAATTGGGAGCCAAGAAATGCAATGCAGAACATGCTTTATATGCTTCAGCAGTAGTCATTGTGGCTTTGGAAACTTTTGGTTTCACAACATGGGACAATATGAACCTCGGTGTAAAAAAAAATCAAACAATGACTGTGGAGATTGAGCCACTGCACGGGCAGCAAAGAACAATGTTTTAAGTTTAGGTGGATAACAACAATATTGTCTCCTCTCCATGCTTCTTCAGTTCACTGACATACTACAAGCCTGCTGCCCTAAACAATGTGTATATTTTTTAATCAAATCCTATTTTGCTGCTGGTTGCCCATCCACAGAGCAGTTGAAAATCAATTAGAGTTCATATCCTAACTTAGGCAGTTTTGAAAATCCAACTCTGTACCTCTCAAGGTCTTCTGGCTCCTAAACTTGCAAGAATTGACCTAAACTCCTAAAGATAGTGCCAAGGAATGCCTTCTCTGGGTATACTGCATGCCGAGAAATATTAGGTAGCATCATTAGAATGGTGTTGGGCATGCTTGGAACTAAAAACATCATTAAGCACACTCTTGGCATGTGCCAACAATCCTTTACATTACTTTTTTTTTGGCATGAGTGGGCGGAGTGATTTCACAGTGATCAGTGCTCCCTGGCTCCATCTGACATGATGAAGGCGTGCCCTAAGTCACCCAGGTCTTTTGAAAATTATACCACGTCCTCTTCTAAGTACAGTATAGTATTTCATTGCCCTTCTGTAGAGGAACTGTAATGATCCAGCTTTGTTGGCCAAATTCTATTTATACACTGTAACATACCTAACTATTTTTTACTTTTTGTTTTTTCTCTGCCCTTTGATGATACATTGAAAGATAGTCTCTCTAGAAAATGAAAAAATGTCTGAACAAGGTTATATTAGTAAGCCTGTGAATTCAATTTTAAGTGCTGTCACTAGGGGATAAAGTGTTGTTTTCTAAATAAATGCCTATAGCTATGTTGATACCTGTCATTTAGAACTGGTGTCACTACAGGGAGCCAAAGCCTGTAAGGGTACATCTATTCTGCCTCTACACCAGTCCTAGGAGTGCCACCCTTAGGCACTCTGCACCCACCCATTTCACATATGCCAGTCCCAAAAATGAAGCAGTGAAAGTGTCTTGAGGGATGCCCTCACCACCACCCAAGTACATTGCCAACAGTTCTCAAGTGTCAGTGGGGGAGCTTCTGCCTTTGTCTGGAATTGGTGCAGGTGGACTGGGAACAGCTGGATAGAGTGTGCAGTGATCCTGGGTGCACTGAAAAAGCAGTATAGGCGTAGTCTAAGAGAGAGTCTCAGAGAATTCCCACTCCTTTTGAGAGTTATAAAAGATGGCTTGTCTTGTCTTGTGAAAGCATACAGATTCTGTGCCTTTGGAATGACTGAGTTTTAAAAGAACTACTTAAATAAACTGAAGAGGCCTCTCTTCCTGTCCCACGTGTCTTACCTTAGACTGCTTTACAACATATGCAAGCTATCAATTCTCCATGGAAAAAAACCTCTTTTCTGGGAAGGCAAGTATGGAAACCTAGAAGAGAGCTAACACTGGTGACAGGACTTGGATACAACAAGCCTAACCTTCTTGTTTGCATCTATTTGCAGAGCATTTATTTTTATCAAAATAATTTTAGCCATTGGCTTCGTTCCCTAAAGCAAATGATAACAAGGGAAAAGAACTGCCACATCACTCAGGCTTAATCTATTCCTGGGGAACATAGCCAGATATATACAGATACTCTCCCCATCATAAAAAAGATAAAGTGCCTAATGTTTTTTTTTAAACTGGGAACAAAAGATATATAACTTTCACAGGCAATGGAAAGCCATTTAAGTGTTGTTTGATCTTGAAAATTTATAGAACCTGGACATACCCATTCCTCGAGTGTTTATAATACTGTCTGGGTGCATTTTGCACATTTTGGCTTGTGTTCTCTGCAAAGTATGGCACTAGATCTGTAGGCACAAGCATGGGAATAAAAGCATGATTTGAACCCTTTCATCTGTATCACAATATTTTACAATAAAAATGGAAAGAATTGCTCAAAGCTATCAAATATTTACTAACAGTTTAAAACTTCCTGTATGGGTAACAGTGGTTTGAAAATATTTATTTCAAAGGTAGGCATTTAGATTTATGCACCGTCTGATGGTTTTATCATATTCATATTCTTTTAAAGAGGTTATGGTTTGTGCATTGAAGCCTGCCATAAACTTGTCTCCTATGCTGTGTATTTGGGCTTTCATCCATCAGAGCCTCTAAATACAGATTTAACTGTATTGAAATCAATAGGACTGTGTGTGCTTAAAGATTTTTCTGGATCAGGGGTTTGGTAGATCTTGTGTTTGGTGTAACAAGCAATTGCTGGTGATATGCTGTTTAGGGAAACTACTGTATCTGTAGGGAACCAGTTACTTTTATAAGTAACTAGTTAGTTTAGTTGGTTTACGTGCTTAAATTAGTTGGTTTAAGTGCTTAATCATATAGTGATTTCCCCTCAAGTTGAAAAACTGGTGTGTAGGCTTATTTTTATGGGTTTGGTATTGCCTGGGGTTTATAACTCAATATTTGGGATCTTTCTGTTGCAGGGAATGGGTTAATCGAGCCCCATCCATCCATTTTCTGAGAGTGTTAATTTGCATGAGGTTATTAATAAGAGATCCATGCTATCAGGTTAGTTCCTGCTGAAATACATAACACACATAGACAGTTTATCTATATTTTCAAATATAGGAATATCACATATATGAATATATAACAGTGTGTTAATCTACAAACAGTTTCAAGGAGTGAAAGCTTAATCAAGTAACAGAATAATGAAATTGCGGAACTATTGTAGTTCATACAAGAAATTGCTATATGCGTGTACCACTTGCAGGATACTCAAATTCTGATGTTTCTTGAATAGTATCTATCATCACAGACTCTCGTGACTAGTTGCTATAATGCAACAGATCAACAGTTTACTCTGTAGATGTTCCTTTTACCAACCTGTAGACAAAGATGAAAATCCCTATTTCGCATTAATTGTAGGAACGGGGAGGACACCCTTCTGTTCTCACTGATTACCTTCCATAAATAAATAAATATGTTGTGAAACTTTGATTGGTAGCTTATGAGTATAGCTATTATATGGTGTATAATCCTCTTCAGCGACCAATTAAGCTGTTTGCCTCAGCATGTTTCATTCCAAATCAGGGATAGAATTCCACATCTTAGTTATAGATTGGTGCCTCAATTTGCAGACCTTTCAAATTAAACTGCTAGCCACATAACCGTTCACCATATAAATATAACTCCCTACTAAGCACCTGTGCAACCTATTTGACTTCAGTGGATTTTGGAGCTGCTGGAAAAACAGGTCATTTATATTTAACTATCCATTTTTTCAGTATTTGTTTACTTTTTAAAACTTTTGTTTACTTAATTTTTTTAGGAAATGCTCCATAATCTTGGTGGGATTGAAAATCTAGCTCAGGTAAAATTCTTCTGGTTACTTCTATATGTTATATTGCACATTAGCTTCTCAAGACAAGAATAAAATGTATCATAAAAAGGAATGTTATTGTATTGGGTCATGGAGAGGAATGAGGAACGACTGTTATTCTATTAGAACAGGGATAAGTAGGTGCGGTTGTAATTTGGCAGGGTGGCACCAACGATTTCTACCTAATTGGATTAACAGAAGCTAGCTAGCTGAAGTGAAAAAAGGTTATTAAAGGTCAACACATGTTTGACTCACTCATGAGTAGTTTTAGGCTGCTGAGGGAAAGGCATGTAATGTCTCCTTGAACTTTACAGACTGACTTCTCTACGGACAAACCAAAGTGACAGAAATGGAGTGAAATGATAGTTTTGTGGGGGATCACTGTTTTTTTTCTTTATTTGTTTTATTTTGTTTAATTTTTTGTTTTTAAATGTTTATTCTTTAGTTAGTGGAATCTGCCTTTTAACAGCAAGGTGTGCCACCTTGAATGTATTTGAGCCTGAAAGAAATGCTTTTCTCCAAAAGAGTCACAACTTGATTTAATAATAATAAATTTAGCTGTTCTAGGATGCAAGTCCTGCTCCATAATATTAGCATTTCTCAGGAACTGGACCCTCAGGGCACTGTTAATGGGCTGTAAAGCCTTTTATCACTAAGGGTGCAGACAGAAGTTAGCAATAACGCTGTAAATTTCACAGCATTACAAAAAATGCTGAAATTTACAGGACTATATAAACCAGACAGACGAGTGGCTTCGCGTGAGCTTGTGCTTACATGCAGTGACAGAGGCCAGGCAGCAGGGGGCAATGCTGCCTGCATTGTAAGCCAGCCAGGGCTCTGGATCCTGGCAAGCAGCCAGCTGCTGAAATTGACCAGCAGTGCCCAGTAGGCATGAATGCTGCATGTCCCCAGAGGCTGGAGGGGCACAGCGAGCTCCTTTAGGTGGTGGTGGTGCTGTTGGCAGTGGGAGTGTGGCGGTGGCAAGCAGGGAGCTCGTGCAGGCAGCTGTGGCACTGTCAGCAGTGTGGTGTTGCGGGGGGTGGTGAACACTGACCGGTGATCAGCGACCACCCATAAATGTCGCCAGCAGCATTCGCAGTGGCCAGCGACGATTGTGGGCTGCCTGCAGACACTGCTGGGGGTGGGGGTGGTGAGTGGCAACAGCCTGCAGGTGCTGCCGACAGTGTTGGTGGCACCTTTTTACAGGGGGTGCACCACCAAGCTCAGGGGGTGCATGTACACCTATGTGCACTCCCTATGTGTCACCAATGCCAGTGGGGCTTGCAAAGCTGGTCACCATGCAGCACAGGCCACAGCTGGCAGCCCAGGCTGAGGTCCCAGGGGTGCTGGACAAGGGTGGGGCCTCAGGGCCCACCCCCCTGAGCTCCCCTGCCACTTCCTGTCAGCGGCTAGTTTGGCTGTTGTCAGCAACAAACAGCATGGTAGGGAAATGCACTGTTGGTGCCAGGTGGCACGGGCATAGGTTAGCTCTCTGGGCTGGGATCCCTGGGGGCACAGAACCTGGGCAGGGGTGTGTGACCCCGCAGCTCCCTGCACTGATGGTCTTGTCAATTTCCGCCTGATCTAAAATTGACAAGAGACTCTGTGTCTCTACCTCCCCCCTGTGGCTGACTAGGGGCATGACAACTAGACTTCTGACAAGTGTACACATATTCTCTGAGTTATTCTTAGAGAGACTTTGTCTGATACTTGATTAGATTACATTGGCCGTTTTTTAAGCGGTCTGCAGCCACGCACTTGTGTTTGGTCACAGCTTTAGACTGCTTTTGTGGCCAAATCAGATGAAAATTGTCACTTCTGTCTGAACCCTAAATCATTGGCATTGGCATTGTCTTGACTCCTGCCCAGATCCTCGGGGATTAAAATGTATTTCTATCTCATGGATGTGTGATGGCTCCCACATGAGTCAAGTTTAGTGGATTCCAATTCCACTTCTTAGGTCTTAAATGTCAAGATTTTTTCAGGGGAATTATTTTCTTACTCTGCGCTTGTATTGTTCTAGGACAATGGACCCATCTCTATAATGTTTGGGCAGGGCTGTCCAACTTTTTGGCAGCCCAGGGCCTCATGCCATGCAGGCTGCTCACTAGCAGGAAACTTGTCTCTCTCCCCCACTATATGTGCAGTACAGGCAGCCTAGCTCCCTTCTGCTGTGTGCTCTGACCCACCTCCTTTCTGGCAAGGAGCACCTTGCTGCACAGGCAGCCTGGCCCCTCCTATTGTGCCCCCGCTCCCCACCCCTAGGAATGAGAGAGGGAGAGCTCAGAGACCCTGGCTGCTACCACAGCAGGAGAAATGGCGGCAGTGGTGCCTGGGCAAGAGCCCATGGGCCACATTAACCCCTTGCGATCTCCCCTCATGGGAGCCAGTTGGACAGCCCTGCTCTAGAACTGGATTCAGTAAAGGACTCGGGCCTCTGGAAGATATGTGACTTATGCAATTAACACACTAATCACATAATAAATAGTAACATGCCACATGTTAAAAAGACTTTATAGTGGAATAAAATGGTAAACCAGCCACACTGATGTTCTGCATTTGGTGGTGTGGGACCTAGGGCTGCCTCTTGCCCTGAAGTGCAGGGTTTACATGTTCCCACACGGTGGGAGCCTGTCAGCCCCTCATGTTGGGGACAGGTAAAGCCCTGCACTGAAGTTGATGCTGCAGCACAGCCAGCTGGAGAACTGGGGGCCCTCCAATCTTAAACAGACATGTAATTGGGATCTGAGGAGTTTTATCCATGATCCCAAGCCTCATGGTAGAAACTTAAATAATCTCTTTGAAAAACTAAACAGGGGTCATTGTTTTCTGCTAAAACACACCCACAGAAGGAGGTGGTCATGCTGTAACCACTAGGATAGGGGGAGTCACATGCTTCCTTTTTTGTGCTCTTGTCCTGATCCCATCAGTTTTGCCTTCCTTCAGGTGAGATTTGTACGTTTGAAGCCCCTCAGACAGAGAAGGTCCTAATAAAAACCAGGTCTGACACTTCCTGAGAGGACTATAACTTCTGGGTTCTTATATAAAAGGGGAGCAGTATCACCACCACCTCTTTTGGCAGTTTTAAAATAAAGTAGCCATATTTACAAGCTGAGATAGGGCACCACTCCACTTTGTTTCTGGATCCCGAGTAGACCAAGGCAGGAGATTGCTGTTTATATGCTTGTGTCAGGACAGTTCTGGGCATGTGCAGAAGCAGAATTGTAGGCCCTTTAATGACTTTCAGGTCAGAGTCATTTGAGGTTAGGAGCTTCCAAGGCTAAGTCCAGTTTCACATGCCTAAATCCTGTATTTGATTTGGCCTAGGTGTCTGATTCAGGGCTTGAGGTTGGTACCTTCTTCAGAGGAGGTTTGTGCATTTTTATAAATGTCTGTTGACTATGAAATATAGGAAAAGTCCATGGAGCAGAGAGCAGAACCCTGACTCCCAACAACTGCTCTCCCTCCCACCCCTGCGCCCTTCCCCTGTATGTCTCCGTAACCACTATCTCCCTTACTGCATTACTACAGGGTCAGTTTTCCTTACTACCCACTATGGGGTCAGGCTGTCTCATGCTTTTTTAAAAATTTTTAGCCCTTGAATCCTGAAATCTTTTTTGCTCTGTATCTCAGCTTCAACAGGATGGGTGGAGAGTATCCTTAGCCACTTGTGGTTAGAGCACTTTTCTAGAGTTAGGAGGTGTGGATTTGAAGTAAATCAGGCTGGGGAGGGCTTTTAACTTTAATCTCTTGCTCCCTGGGTGAGTTTTGTAGCCATTAGGGTATTATATTGGTGAGCATCACCATCACTACCTCCTGTTCTGTTTTAACAAGAAATGTAGCCAGAATTCAGTTTGTGCAGAGCCTGGTTCAGTTGATATTTGCTAAGAATGCTCTGAAAATGCCTTCTGGATCAGGTCCCTCAAGAATCGGAGATAGAGGGGCTTCTAGTATCTGGATCCCGTGCATGGTCAGGAGATAGGAACTTAGCTGTGCACATTATGGCACTTCTACACAAGCATGAAAGGAGAGCCCTTGGCATTTGGGGAACTTTCCAAGTCAAACAAACATGTTTAGATGAGTTCAGGTGACTTCAGAATTAGTTGGCATGTAAATAAGGGAAGGTAAGGAAGGGATGGTTTGCATTTATGGGTCTAGGCAGCTCAGTTTAATGTAAGTGTTGCTTTAGGTACCAAAGTCCTGTATTGAATCCATCCTATCATGCCTCTCTGAAATAGGAATTTACAGTGTACTGTGAAACTAGGGCACCACCTGTGGGCTAACCCATGTATAACAACTTTTCAACTTTGACAAATTAACTTCTTAACATATTAACAGTCTTTATTTTGTCCCATCTACAGCATATGGAAACAGTAGCAAATGGGTATCTTGGATATGGAGAAGAGCAGCATAATGTAGACAAGTTGGTCAACATGACATGTAAGTGCTATAATGAAGACATAGGCAGATAAGGTTCTTTGGGTAAATCTGATATCTTTTATTAGACTAACTTAAATAGTTGGAAAAATTCTTCTTAATAAACTTTTGGTCACAAACACCCTTCATCAGGCTGAGGAAGCAGATGGTCTGTGATCTTCCTGGATGGATAACTGACACATGCCTTTCAATGGATGAGGAACAGTTTGTGACAGACTAAAGGGTACTAAAAATACTTCAAAGTGTTCAGATATTGTGGAATTGCTAGATTCATTGCAAAAGGAAAACATACATAAGTCAATGAAAGTGCTGTAAAATAGCAGATTTCATTCTTGTACAGCTGAAAGTTTCTTTCATAGACATTGATACTTCTTTGTAATTTAAAATAATGAATACTGTGTACTGTTAATCACATCAAAGAACTTATCCAATTCAAAGGATAAGTCAGTGCTTTATATTTGTGTTATGTTTTTCTGTTAATAAAATGAAAAATATTAAATGAGAGATATTCAATTTATATGATTTTCTTCATTTCACAGATATTTTTCAAAAGCTGTCTGCTGTTAAAGATCAAAGAGAATGGGTTATAGCCAGTGGAGCACATAAAGTAAGTAATTTATAAAACAACTACTTATGCAAATGGTTAACTCTTTCAAAATATAATTAAACTCTCTTCATCTTCAAAATGGTTGTAGATTAAAAAAATGTCAGTTTTGTAACTTAGAATGGTGAGTTCCATCACCGTTAAAATCACCTGAGTGGTCTTTTCTATATGTGACCCAGTGAGCTGCTGGCTTTAGGTACAAATTGCAGATCAGTTAGTTTAGCTTCTCAGATATTTTGGTGAAGCTTGCCCCTATAAAGATACGTCAGATTTATATTGTGGTAAACCTGTGGTTTTTGTATTATAACAGTTTTGAAATATCTGCTGCAAACAATGGCCCTCATTCTGCAGTTGGCATGGTTTTCTGAGAGTGCATGGAATGACCCTACTGAAAAGCAGCATGGTTGTAGGGATCTGCACTTTGTAGCCTGAATGAGAAACAGTTGGGATTAGGATTGGTATAACCAGGTTTTCATGAAACAAGTGTACTACTGCAAAATGTGGGCAATTTTAATTGGATCATGTAGTGAAGTGAAGTAGGGTGAAAAATGGAAAACTTATAGAACCAAAACCCTATTTATAAAAGCCACTTTATGATCTAATCATTAGCAGAACACACGTGAATCTTTAAAATGACAAGCATGTACTAAATACAGTACTTTTTATTAGTATGGCTTAAATTCAGGGTTAGAAGAGTATGTCTGCACTATCTAGCTACCAAACTGGGACTGCCACTGAGAACCATTGCTGTCCTACTTAGTACTCGACCAAGTCTGCTGAATGTGCAGCCTGGATGGTGCTAGACCCGACATGGAGGACTAGGAGTGGCGGTGATTTAGGTGTTCCAAGCTTCTCTAAGACATTTTACTCTACATAATTTGTGGGCTTGGCTGAGTGCTAAAGGCATGTGTGGGCCTAGCTCTGCTTCCCAGCAGCAGTCCTCTGTTCAGCAGCGAAGATTCAAAGACATGGCTTAATTTTCTTGATTTGATCATGCCACAAGATACGTGCAGATGTTATATTAGGGTTAGGTTGATCTAAATGCCAGTTTGCGTGGATGCTCACGGGGGTTTACATTGGACCAGAAATGGTGGGCTGGAATTCTGTTCACTTGAGTAGGTGAACTAACTTAGATTGGGTATAGGTTAACCACATCTATCAAATGTCTGCACTTGGTTGGAGTGCAGTCCTGGAGCTGGGAAAAACTCAGTTGCTTGCCACATCCCTGGGGCTATACTCTTCCTATGCTCTGACCCTGACTGGGCTATTTTTGCCCCCTGATGCTCCCATCCCAGGATGGATACCCACCCTCCATGTATCCGTCAGCTCCCCAGATCCCGTCAGGCTGTCTTGCAGACCCTCTAGCCCAGTGCTTCCCAAACTTTTCCTCAGTATGACCCATTTATAACCCCATTTCCGCAACATAGCACCTCACTCCCAACCTGCAGCCCCCTACCCTTCCCAGATGCCCCTCACTCACAGCTCCTGGTCCTGCTGGTGCCCCTCATTCCCAACCTGCAGCCCCCCACACCCCAAGGTGCCCCAGGACAAGGTCCCACAGTGCCCTACCCCAGCAGCAGTGCCTGAGCCCCAGCTGCTGTCTGAGAAGGCAGCGGCTGCTGCAGCCAGAGTAGAGCACAGAGCCTGGCTCCCCCCAGCCCCGTCCCCTCCCCTGCAGGTGGCATGGCCAGAGTGGAGCCTGTTGTGGGGGAGGATGTGGGCTGCCTGCTACAGGCACGGAGCTCCCCTCCCTGCTGCCCTACCTCCGGGGGCTCGCAGCCCAGTGCACAGGACTTGGTGTGGGAGCGCCACATTGGCACGGCCACCAAGCTGAGGCCTATGGTACCAGGCTCAGCAGTAATGTGGTATAGACATACACCAAGCGTTTTCCACTAGAACAGATGCCACTTTAATACTTAAAGGGCAGGTCTTTTTGCCCTTCAGATGTATTTGAGGAGAGGCACTTGCTTTACCTCAATATTTGGCTAGTGAGTAAAGGAGCAAAACTGATTTCTGATATGTTTGAAATCTGTAAGGCTAGTTATACAGTCTGTGATGATTTAATATCTTTACTTTTTCTAATAAAATCCTACAGATTTTTACTGAACAGCTGTGTATGTTTTAGTGTCATTATTGGAAACACAAGATTTATAAACATTTACCTTTTTAAATCACCGATTTCTAGACTTTAGTAAATTTGCTAGGAGCCAGAGACAGTAACGTGTTGTTGGGCACCCTCCTTGCTTTGACTAGCTTAGCAGAAAGGTAAGTTCATTTTAATGTGCTTTTGTTTGCAATTAATATTTGATTGTGGCTAATGACAGAATATTACCATACTTACTCAAATACAAGACATGTTTTTTCCCCCAATCAACATATGGAAAAAGCCTCTCATTTTACATTCAGATGCAAGGAAACTTCATTCAATTCATTGTCTATCATTAAACTGCTGCCAGAACTAGCATGTGCTCAGTAACAGAAACCAACCATGAAGTTGATTAAATGCAGCCAACACTGAGCAAGACTATAAAATACATGGCTCATATTGGGCAAACTTGCTGATGGGAAACTACTACAAAAATAGATCAGTGGAGGCTATCTGAATAAGATATGTGGATGAATGGATGTAATGGATATATGCAATGGATATATATATGCAATGGATATATCCATTGCACTCAGTCCCCCTCAGTGCTGATTCTTTTTAAAGTTTTGGTGAGCGACATAGCATGCATTTCAACTTGCTCTTCACTCCCATAGCTGAGCCATGCCTTTCTTTCCCATTTCATTTTCACTGATTCCTGTTTCTTCACCAGCCTTAGAAGTCTGGCAGACATCAACAAATGGCCCCAAACAGTTCACCCAGAATCCCTCTGTCACCTCCTTTCTTAGCCTGTCACATATGGTTAGTGTGGCTCCACCCTCCCTGAGGTGGAGCCAGGTCAAGTTGCCCTGCACCTCATCTTATAAATTTTTGGAGGATCCCGAAACTTATGACAAAAACACCCGGCTCCAGTCATGAGTGGGAGGCTAATTAGCACAGGGCTCCTTTGTTGTGGGTATATGTAATACACACATACTGAGTAGTGCTGAGCTGTGGAGTCATCATGGCTTTAAATGCTGTTGACTCTGCTCGGGTGCAGCTCAATGAACAATATGGTAAATCATGAGCCTTTTGACTTTGGACTAATATCATGTATAGTTTGTACTATATATAAGTAGATACAAAAATGCTGCTTAGAAATGTATTTATGGAGTACCTGTGCTAAAACTTGCAGCAGTTTGAAAAAAGGGAAAATGCATCAGTTCTGGGTAAATTAAGTCTCAGGGTATTATATGCAAATTAATACAGCTCCATTCATTTCAAGGTCAGTGTTTTCAAATTTGCCCCTCACTTCCATATGCTTAGGGAGAGCAGGGTCTGACAGTAAGGATGTGGGAGGAGGAGCTGCAGGGGGAAGTTGTGGGGGTAGAGGACAAGGGACCTCTTGACCCCCCAGATTTGTTTTTACCTGCTGTAGCAGTGGGAGGGGGACAAATTCAAGGCAAATGTCCAATAATTAGATTCTATACCTGGAAAATAATAACAAATATATACATTTTCCATATATAGAATCTGATTTTTGTGGGGATGTCTTATAATTGGAGTCATTTTATACTTGAGTAAATATGGTAAAATTGATATTTTTTAGGAGAAAGTGTTGATACACAAGATAGAGACTCAGTCTGGCAGAGATGTCTGTGTGTGTGTATGTGTTTGTGTTTAATGATAGCGTACGTGTGTGTGTGCAAGTCAAAAAGCCCAAGGCTGAACAGATTCAAGTTTCACAGGTTAGCAGCTCCAGAACTGCTCTTTTCACTTTCCCCTCTCCCCTGCAGTGGTCTGTTCCCCCTCACCTCCCTAGCCCTTTGCTCCCTGCCAAGCCCGTGCTCTCAAACCCCATTCCGCAAGCTACTCTGGGTGCAGCCACTTTTATCGATGTTTGCTGCTGCCAATGCCAAGCAAGTAAGTCCTGGTGGAGGGAGGGATGGGGTGTAGGTTTGCTGGGTGGGACACCATGCCAACCCCACCTGTGGGTCACGTCTCCTCACCACCCTATTCCTCATTGTTTGTGCCTGCCCCCTCATCCCATCTGAGGGTCTTGTCTTCCCCCAACACCCTACCCATGTGTTGTGTCTGTTCCCCTACCCCACCCACAGATTGTGCGTGCTCCCCTTACCCCTTGTGGATCATCCCTGCCCCTCCACGCCACCTGTGGGTCATGCCTGACCCCCATCCCACTGTGGACCCACTGTCCCCTCCAGTCTGATGGGCCCCCAACTCCCTGGGTAGCCCCCCACATCCTGACTTACCTGGTATTGGACACCCATTTTGAATTGATTTAACCTCCCCATAACGTCTCTGAATATCTGTACTTATCCCCGTTGTGCTACAGATTTGAACCAGTTTCCAATCACTTATACTACTTTGTAATTTCTCTTCCTAGCTCCCCCCCCACCCCATTTTAACATTGAAGCCAATGGATCTGGTCATAATGTAAAAAATGTAAAACAAGATGTAATATATCTAGACGTTAATTTCTTTCTAGTTATAGAAGTACATACTGAGTAGGGCTGTGCAACATTTCAGCAGTTGTTTTGTTTCACAGGTGTTTCGGGCCATTTCGATCCCGGAGGAGAGACCAGCGCTGCCCTGCTGCACAACCTGGTTCTGCAGGGAGCAGAGATCTGCGTTGGGGTCTCCTCACTGCTGCTGCCTGCCCCACGCTTTCCCAAATCTCTGCTCCCTGTGGAGCCAGATCGCATGGCAAGGCAGTGCTAGTCCCTGCTGCACAACCTGGCTCCACAGGGAGCAGAGATCTGCGGCAGGGTCTCATTGCCACCGCTGCCCTCCCCATGCAGCCCCACATCACCAGGGGCAGCGCAGGGCAGGCAGCAGCAACATGGTGACCCCTGGTGCAGATCTCAGCTCCCTGTGAAGCCAAGTTATGCAGCAGGGACCAGCAGGCTTGTTCACTGCCCTGCTTCCCTGCCCTGAGACCTGGCATGACAGGGATCAGAGATCCTTGTCGGGGTCTCCTTGCCTGCACACAGAGCAGCAGCCCTCCTTCTCCCCTGGATAAGCCACCTACAGCCCCATCTTGGGGCCCCAAGCCCTGTCCAGCTGGGTAAGGCTGTGCGAAGCTTCCCTTGCAGCTTGTTTGAAATGGATTTGGCTGAAACGAAACAGGACAGTGATTCGAATCACTGTCCTCTGAAATGGCCGAATCCAAATTGAAACACAGCCATTTCACACAGCCCTAGTACTTAGGCCTTGGTCCTATAAGGCAGTCTCTGTACCCATATAGAAAAGATTACAAAATTGAGGCCACATAGTACCAACCTGCAAGTCATTATGCAGGCACTGAAGTCAAAGGCTATTTTATCTGTGTCCAAACTATAGAGGAAAGCCCCTTGTTGAAAATTTGCAGATAAATGTAGTAAAATGTGCCAACAGTTTTGTTTCCCACACCCTTGCTCCTTCTTATGAAATGTTGGCCTAAATATTTCCCCTGCTAATACTAACAGTTCTTTCTTCCA